TTTAAAGTTTTAAACTTTAATGTCAGGGGCTTTAACGTTTTCTGAACTTTCCCTGTTTCTTTTGGACCGCCTTCCTTGTTACTTTGTTGTAAAATGCCTTTCGGCGAGGTCGAAATCACCTGAAGCAATTTCAGTTGAATGGAAGTGAAATGAGTGGAGCTGAATTCAGAGTCAGAACAGAAAAGTTGCCCATGAGGGTGGAGGGAGGGAGAGGGACCCATACAGAGAGAGAGAGAGAGAGACCCTGAGCGGGCATGACTGCTGGAGCTCTGACAGGAAACTTCAGCAGCAGCAGCATTCAGACTCCACCGCCTCAGCCGCAGTTTGCCGTCTGAAATGCACTTGACTGGGAGTGCGGAGTTTCTGTGAAACTCATGGCTCTCCATCTTCATTCACCGACAGCCCGTCACTGAAGATAACGCACAGTAACCGGGACTCTTTTCGAGGATAAACTTTGGAGCTAAATGACATTTCTTTGCTTTTAACCCACGCTGGATATGAGGATGGAGACGCTATTTTACCTGCTTGCTTTCTTGTTGCCCCGGGTCAGTTGGGGTCTTGGGTATTCGGAGTCCAGTATTCAGACGGGACAGAGAGCGGCCAGCAGACACAGGTAGGACCTACACGCGCACAATCACACGTGCGTCAGCGTTATCAGGTGGCTCGCGCAGATTTAATTCAGAAAAAAAGAGAAGAGCTGCTGTTCAAAAGCTCCATTGAAAAACATGTTGATTTAAGCTTTATGATGGGTGCGGAGGGTCCCCTTAACTGCTCATGTCATGTTGTTCCCAAAGTGAGGTCCGGGGACCTTTAGGGGTCCTTTCGGGGCTTCCAGTGGGTCGTTCTTAACAAAATTTAGAGAAGTTCTTTGGATGTATAAAACCTCTTAAAGCCCACTGGGTCGACTGCTTCAATCACTGAGGAGCACCATAGTATGAAATGATCAAATGAGTTCCTAATCGATATGTTATTCCATAGCCTAATTTTTATACAAGAATATTCATACTGGTTTAAATGAAACAATGTGATATTATTTCCCATCTTTCCTGAGCAAGAGTTTTGTGCAAAAGGAATTAAAGGCCTATCCCAAATAAAGACAGGTTGGTTTCAGAAACTGAAGCAAATAAAAGCCTGAGCTATTCATTGTAGTTGTATTGTAGTTTAGTGTACAATATTAACCAAATAATTAATTGATTAATCAATTGATTGCAGGGCCCAGATGTGAAGATCTGCTGCTTTTCAGTTTTATATCAGTGTAAATTAAATATCTTTGTTAGTGTGAAAGAAAATGGTGTCTGAAGATGAATCAGAATTCAGAATGAATCAGATAATCCCAGGGGGAACTTCTGGGTTCTGGAAAATCTGTGGTTAATTAGTTAATTATTATTATTAATTTTTTTAAATGACCGGTTTATTGATACTGAAGGTGATCTTTGCTGGCAGCCCTAATATGTTTCACTGTTACTTTAATAAACACAGCTCCTATTTAGATACTCAATTAATTTACAACAACAACAAAGATCCTCCCCGATGGGGCAGAATGTCTCTTTCAGAGTCCATAATGTAGAACTATCCGAGTAGCCCTAGCAGAAGTAGACATGGTGTAAAATTGTATTTTTAGAGGAAATATCTTATTGTTGATTAATATCTCTTACTCTGCAGGGGGGCTCTCTGAATGGGGGGTGATGGGTGTGTGGGGGGCTGTGATGATTCAAGGGGCCCAGAGCTGGACAGGGTTTACGGGGATTATATATATTTACTGTTTCAGGGCCCCAAGTGAAAACTTTTCAGGGGGCCTGAATTTCCAGCAGCACTCCCAGCCTCAGCCTCGAGGGGAATTTATCATTCTGGCAAACAGCATCTTCCAGTGAAGTGAAGGTGAATGGGCTCTGCGGGGGAGTGACAAGTTGCAGGGGGTACTGAACTTGAGCTGGACATCATTAATCCAGAAGACTGCTAATGTATAATCTTGGAATTTTAACAATCCTAAACTACCATCTTGCCCTCCTTTATGGGACAGTAAGGAAATCATTTAGATCTCAGTGACGGTTGATTAATAGTCGCTCATAAATCAGACATGGCTGTTGGAGTGTCTGCTCATAAAGCTGTTCATACTGTCAGTGAGCCAACACATGTATGTTTTTATTGTGCTGTTGCAGCCCCATAGTGTGTTATTATCATGTAATTGAGCTTCTGCCTGAGGGCCCCGTGTGTGGACCACCCCCTCACCTCTATGGACAGATGTGTGTGTGTGTGTTTGTGACTTGTTTGTGTGCTTTTGGCAAATTGAATGACTGATAATGTGTGTGCGTGTGTGTAAATAAAAGGGGTCACAACAGAATGTTTGGGTGAATGGATGACAGAGTCTCTCACATGTGGTATATGTCTGCCTGCATGCCTGCATGTGTTTGTACTTAGCGTGTGTGTATGTGTGTATGCAAGGCTGGCCAGGCTTCTGGGACTTGAGCTCCTGCAATATGAGCTTCTATCAGGTTTCTCTCCACATCTGAGCACAGTGTGCTGCTGCTGCTGTGGTTGGCCTCGTTGGTGTATGATAAAGCTGAACTGTTGAAGTGAGTGATGAGAAGTCAAGAGAAGGATAGGTGAATAGAGGAGAGGGGAAAATATACATTATCCGATTGAGAGAAGGTGAGGTAAGTGAGAAGAAGGCAAGAAGACAGGACAAAAAAGAAAGATGGGGAAAATACGGCAGCCCAGTAAAGGAGACTTTGGAGAAAAGGGAGAGAAGTCAAGCAGGCGTGACAAGAGAGCATGAAAGAGTGAATACAGACAGGAGACCCGGGTCCTTAAATGCCTTCCCCCTGCTGAAACCAGTAGGCTATGAAGGAGTCAGCATGGCTGGCCTGTGACATGCACACACATACAAACCACACACACACAAAGTGACGCATCAGGGTGAAGAATGCGCTGGCCCGTGGCAATGCGGTTTGCCCCTCTGACATCCGTTTGAACTCAATTGATCTGTTTTGACAGATGTGTGAAGTATTCCATACGTGGTAAAGGCTGTTGAATGAACTGAAGACATCCAGCAGGAGGACCCAGAGCTCAGGAGGACCCAGAGCTCTCCGACACATCTCCTGCCAAAGTGTCAGAGCTGCACGTCATCCCGTCAGCTCCAGACAGCGACAGGGGAAGCGAGGGGGCTGGGTGCAGGTGGACTGCTGATCTGTTTAGGATCATGTACAGTTTGAAAGACAAGACATTGGATCAACACTGGAGGGGAGCAAGGCGGAGATACAGAGCATATTCCTCTCATTAATCATACTTATTTCCTCTTCCACTTTTTTCTTTAAATTAGCACTGGGCTGCTCCATACAGGGGCCATCCATAAAGATATGCACACCCGTTGCTCTTGTTCAGACACTCCAGTTCCAGATGTTGTGTTGACATGGAATTTTTTAGTTGGTTATTTAACGGCCTTCTGCTTTGTGGATTGTAACAGGAAAAACTGGAGAGCGAAGAGGTGATAGTTCTGACAAACTTAATGTTCTGGGCCAAAAGCGTGTGGACAGTACCCATTGTTTGTTTGTCTGTCTGTCAGAATGATTATGGAAAAACTACTGGCCTGATTTTAATGAAACTTGGTGGAAGTTTGTAGCACGGGGCAAGGAAGAACCCATTAAAGTTTGGAGTGGATCTGAATCATGGGGCGGAGACACATACTATTTTTCACTTTCCTATAGCAAAATGAACAGAATTCGTCAGGCATGTAAAAAACCATTGTCATTGAAGTGAATGCTGTGCCTAAAGGTACAACAAAACACAACAGCTACCTCAGACATCACTGTGGAAACAAATGCTGCTAGTATGTAAGAAATAAGCAATCAGGGAGGTGATTTTTCTGGAATAATCAGAAATTACAGATTTTCCGACATGTCTGACCTTATTGTAATTAAAGTGGATGTTGTGCAGATTTGCATATCGTCCACAGAAGACTGGACTATTTGCATAGTGCCTGTCCAGTTTTTTCATGATTTGGGCTCGGGTTTAGCCCCATGAATGAACCCTATATGTAATATCATATAATGTGCTTCCAACTTTGTGGCAGCAGGGGAAAGCCCTTTCCTGTTTCAGTGTGACGGTGCCCCTCTGCACAAAGCCAGGCTTATAAAGAAAAGCTTTTCCCAGTTTGGTGTGGAAGAAGTTGACTGACCTACACAGATCCCTGATCTCAACCCCATGCAACACCTCTGGCATGACTGTATCGCCCAAAGTGAGTGCCAGACTAGCCTTGACCGCACACTATGTATCACTGTCCTGCATGGATATATCCTTGCTGGAAAATTTCAGTCACAGATCCACTCATAAAATTTGTTACAGTAAGAATGTTACTGTAATAAAGACATTTCTTTGCTCTGCCTACATTCAGTATGGCTGTTTCTGTGGTTGAAAGGAAGTTTGGGAAATGTAGGAGGTCAGCAATTCATATATTCTAATGGTGATAGAGTATATATAAGGAATTATCCTTAAGAATGCTGTAGGGATAGGAAATCTGGGCATAGAGAGAGACTTATTGTCTGTACTAAGCTTCTTTTAAAAATTGCCCTGGAGAAACGAATCAACCCCAGTGGTACCAGTGCAGCATAAGCAGACTGCTGTAATAACTCATTACAGCTTCATTGTGTGCAGAAACCTCAGAATGTTAATCAGTTACGACGATGACAAATGTAATTGGCCTCTTGTCCATCATAAGGAAAAAAGTCACATCTAACCATTGGCTCAAAACACACAGTAGATATTAAAATGTACAGCTGCCAGTGTAAGGTTACCAGTTATGAGCTTGTAAGTTATAGATTTTATCCATCTATTCATGCCCTTTGATTTAAAATTATAAGCTTAAGGTAAACTGATCCTACTGCAGTTCAAGAATAAACGCTGACTGTAACTGGATTGGATCTCTGTCTGCACTTAAGGGCACTGATTCTGATGTCAGCTGCATTTTTGGCTCCGTGGATGGTAATGGTAATATCTCAACTACTATTGGATCGATTTTTCCTCCAGGACCACCATGAAGTAGAAATTTGTGGTTTTGAGTGAAATGCCTTGACAATGAATGAATTTCCATGAAATTTACTACAGACATTCATGTCCCCCTTGGGGTGAAACGCAATAACTTGCGATGATGATTCATTTTTCATGTTTGGCCATCATCAAGTCAAATTTGACAAATGTCATGTCACTCAACTAATTACATTAGCTGCACTTTGTGTTTAGCGCTAATTAGCACGTCAGTATGCTAACATGCTAAACTTTAGAACATGATAAATATTATAGCTGCTAAACATCACCGTGTTAGCATTGTAATTGTGAGCATATTAGCATGTTTGCATTTAAAGGTCCAGAGTGTAACAGAAGGAAGTATTGGCAACTATGTTTTCATGAGTGTATAATCATCTGAAAATAAGATTTTCTTTTGTTACCTTCAAATTAGCTTTTTTTTTTTTTTTTACAGATACACCTTCTATGGAGTCCACCATGTTGGACCGCCTCATTTCTACAATAGCCCAGAATGGACAAACCAAAGCCGACCTTTCAGATTTTTCCTGCGTTTTACTTTCACTGTAGTTTCTCCTTCATGCTTGGAAGGGGAAG